CATCGATGAACGATGAGCGCAATATTGTAATATAACTGGTTGTTGGGAAAAAAGTTATGCTTCAGTGAAGATCCAGAACTGGTATGCTATTGAGAACAGAATTGAAATATTTATGAGTTAGATGCGAGCAAAAAAAACGCTCAAACATTAAACAAATATTCTTTGAAGAAATATAGGCGATCATAACTTTCCTAACGACTTCACATCCCAGATCATAACCAACATCATGTGCCCATCTGCTCTCGAGACAAAATATGCGAAAAAAACAAATCTTTTAACGTGAAACTTACGATCGTACAACTTTTCGTGAAGTTATTCTGTCGAAGGTTCGTACTTTATGAATATTTGAGTGCACTCTTGGAAGAAAATTTAGGATGAATAAAGTATCACTCGCTTACTCTATGAGAATGACTAATGCATTTCGCATTCTATTCACTCGGGAATGTCGAATGACAAAACTCTTACAAGAACGAAAAGACGCTTCTTATTCGTGGCTGTTCAACAAATCTCATTTCTCTGAACAGACCATCATTCCTAGTCTCGATTGAACAACAACAACAACAACAATAAGTAAATTCACTATTGAAATTCGCATCGAGTGGAAAGGATTCAAAAATTTGTATAGATCTGCTATGCAAGATAATAATTTAATGTTTATAAGTTCTTATTGATATCCAACTGACGATAAGAGATGAGACTGGTACCGATGATCTATGGGATGGATATTTGTGGTGCTGTTGGTGATGGGAAGTGAAGGAGCTGAATAGAAACGGAATCCACGGAAATTGACGGTTTCATTGAGCGGAATGAGATTAGCTGCTTGACGTACACTAACAAGAAAAATATGAGTGAATGATGATAGGTGTGTGGCTGAGGAATGTTAATAGAAGGTGTAATTGTTACGAATTAATCAGTTTATTGCTAATAGCATTGAATCGCTGATGAAACCAAAATCCGCAATGAGGAATTTGCTTAATCGTGGATGACTGATATGGAACTCTTACCTCAGCATTTATGAATGCAGATTTGAATGCGTTTGGTGCTGCAGTAGTGAGAATTTGTGATGGATGGATAGATGGAAGAACGAGCGAGCGTTCAGTAAAGAATTAACGGAAGAAAGGAAGAGTGGGATGTCTGTCTATCAACCACCTCTCGCGATAAGAGAGTGATGTGAAGTAATGATTGAGGAAATTGCTTGCGATGAGTTTCGTGAAAATAAACTTCTGAGTTGAGGAATGAAGTTTTTTCACTGGTGAGTGAAGAACGGGTGTGAAAGAGCTTGTCTTTAGAAAGGTGCTAAAGCAGAATATTGTATGAAATGAAATAGCTCGATATAACCCAACACACAATACTTCAACAAAAAAATGATAATACTAATAATAATAACAGCAATAGTAATAGTACTACTGTTTGAAAGTATAATAGTAATAACGGTAATAAGTACAGCAATAAAAAAGTGTAACCACTTCTTTACATTGCCATGTCAACTCAGCTCATTCATCAAATAATTTTTCTTTTGAAAAAGTTCATAGATTTATCTTTTCAACACATACCTCTATTTGTTAATTCAAACTCAAATGAATTAGTTGAAAATTCATTCATTCACAATTGATTTGATTTAATTTTCGAGCAGTTTTATTGTTTCGTGATGTGAACAAATAAGAATACTACTACGATTATTCTAGAAGTTTACATTTACGCAACAACGAGTATCGCAAATGCTTGTGAATCGTTCATATGTGTACTGAATACTGTACAATTCTTATGTTAGGTTGTTTTGTCATGCAGGGTGCATACAGGTATATCTCATCTTGTTGGTAATTAGTTCCACGAGAGGCAACTCAAATCGAAATGAGTGGAATCTTCTTGTCACTAGGCTGAACCACAACTAACCATTCGCAGTTTTGTACTTTATTTATAAATGCATTTTTAATGATAGATGGTTAATAAGGATCTACTTTGAGCTTTCAAACGAATGAACTTTATTTTTGATACAGTGAATAACATATATTTTTCCATACACTTTTTGATAAACGACGTACAATCGAGAACGACCCCACCCGAAACGACGTGACCTGAGGTATACCTATATTTTGAAACAGACAAGTAAGTTTATCGGTATCACGAGTTGCGAAGGATGTGAGTGGTGAATATTAGAAGAGAACTGTGATTGTAACCTTGATCTTGAATCTGTATTGGATTGCGGCGATCAAAGGTGACCAACGAAACAGCTCTACTGATACAATAGACAATCGATTGGGCAGTCACTTTAATCAAGATGAGCATCATCAAGCTTGATTGGTTCCGTTTATGATCAGTGTCCAATATGACATCTGAAAAGGAAGATGATTCAAGAAGTGTATTGCGATTCGAACAGGTTGCTACTGGAGAAAGCTTTGAGTTTTGTTCATGTGAAAATCTGCTGCAAACAATATCACTGTTCAATCTACGCAGTGAATGGGAGCTGAAATTTAACTTCAATGTAAGTGCTCCTAAAGCCACGCTGAATCGCAACGAATCCTAGGCGATCGATTGACCATCGGCGAACGAAGGACGGATGATAGTTATGTAAGAGTTGAAAATGGCTGGAAATTTAGAGAAATCCCCCTCAAAGATGGAGAAAACAGATATGTATCTTTCGCAGATAGATCAAAGGTGACTGACCATAACAACCCCTAGGAATGCACTTACTGTAGGTACTATTACTAGGCCACTCAGGCCATTTGCGCCGAGATCACTCCAAGATTCTAGGGAGCACAGCTCAGAGAGGCGAAAATCATTGTTGTATCCGAAACGAGCACGAAAAATGAACGATGATGAATGGTATTTGGTGATAAGTAATGGTAAGAGATGCGCATGCTCCTAATGGGCTATCGAAATCACTGACTAAAGAAACGAACGTATATTCAGAAGAGCCAAATTTATTGTCTGTTGCAGCTGACAAGCATATATAAGCCAGCAATAAGACAGTAAATAAGATGTCTTGAATGTGAAATGAGCAAGCACAATGGAGCAGAAGAAGAAGAGTAGATTCGTTGAAGTAATAAAATCAATGAAGTAATTTTTCACATGTGAGCCGATATTGGCCTCAAATTGCTCGGAACGAAATCATTGTGAGAGGCAAATTATCCCCTTGTCGGAGCAATGAAATGTGCTGCGTTCGTGAAACTGAGATAATCGTTTAGAGCATTTTTTGGAACTATGCGAAGCTATGATTTGATTTGTTTGCACATTTTGAAAGAAAATGCTGTTTTGAGAATGAAATTTTAGAATTAATTTAGTCGTGGTCGGGTCTATTTTTTTGTTTGTTTCGATTCATCTGAATTAATGCCATATTTTGAATGGAAATGAGATTCGGGATGCAGAACAAAAAAAATGAAAATTCGGTGACGAGATAATGCAATTGATATGAGTGAGTTTCGAGCGGACATCTTGCTGAACGAACACGATGAAAAGAGTGCATCATTTCGACATTACTGCCATCTATTTGTTGTATGGTCATCATTTCAGGAAGTGAAACTGCAAACAATCACGTACTTGATACAGCCACCGAGGTATATCATGCGCATTCGGAGTGCTCTCGATCCACCACTGATCACATTCGAACCGATTCGTGTAAATTCGTTGCAGAAGAACCAAACTGATGATGATTCATGTTTTTGCATTTGACCCATTCACATATTATCGCAATCCATCTTATCAAGCGACGTGCTCACAACAGATCCTTTTATTCGAATCCAATTGAAAGCATGCAATCAGGAAAATCACAAAGATATGATTCTGAAAGAAGGGAACGTTGACGTGTTCCGAGTGATCCATGAAGGCTCGCCACCACAAACAGCTATTTCATCATGAAGTTTACGAGTTCCAAAAATTTCATATTATCGTTGCTAAGAACTCGTGATACTTGCTAGCCGAAGAAAACAGAACAAAAAAACAAATCTGAGTACCTTTGTTTGATTGTGAGTAGTACTCCAGCAATGAGTCTGAGTGCATTTGATACGAATAATCGCACATGTCCAAATAGAAATTCCTCGCATTCTAACGAATTCTTGCCCGTAAAAAATGACCAAAGCAACATTCGAACAACGGACATCATCAAATGCCAACAAACGAAAAACATTCATCGCCTAAAAGTTGATGTGTGTGTGTCAATAATGTTTGCGCATCATTGAGTTCATAAAAAGCGCATATTTTTGCGAATGTCTCAAAATTCTTGTAGCTTTTGAATCAAAAATCTTTCAGTTTCTCTCAGCTCATTAATATGAAAAGTATCAATCGAGTAGACAACTAACTGCAAGATAGGTAACTAACTCACCGACGTGTGTGCATCACTGAATACAACCGCTCAGAGCACAACAATGCTGTGGTATTTGTTTACGAATTTTTTTGCCGACTTGTAGTCAATCAAATCAAATAAAGTACCGGTACAGAGCAACTGAATTTTGATGATGAGGTGGATTGTGTAAATTCTCTGTATCCGTCTGCACCAGTACCATTCTCGTCTTTGCCCAGTCGTTTTCGTCTTATTCATCTGGCTAACAACGATGGATGACCAGCAGTGACGAGTTGAGTTCAACTCAGCGAACTGTTTCACTTCTTCATTCTCTAACCGTGTCCTTCCAAAAATTCCACATCACCTTCAGTATTATTCAACGATTCACTCACTTACTAACTGACTGCATTCCGTTTAGCTTCTTGGTGATTTGTAATCATTATCAATGAAGTTTTTGATGAGAACTTTGCTCAGTCACTGCTCGTAATTCGTTGCCGTTCTTGAATGTCGTCAATAGTTTTGATAAGTTCGTTGAATCAAAACGTTGTTATATGATTATCCAGTGGTAAGTCACACTGCTTGATCCGTGCTGATCAATAGAGTGCTGACTCGACTTTGCAACAGATATCTTGATCATCATCTTGATCCTCTTCAAATGCACGGAGAAAAGTGAAGTGAAGAACCTTTTGAGTGCTGAGCTTGAGGAAGCACTGTTCTGTAACGAATGTGTGATAACAGCTTTGCTTTGCCGACATCACCACTGCCACCTGACGATAGTTTACTTCCGAATAATGGCTTCAGTCGAACTGCAGTCGCGCTTGGAACACTTCGTGTGGCCGTCGGAAACGCTTTCGATGATGTTTGGTACGACATGGAACGTTTTCAGATGGTGTGATCAATTTCGAAACGTTTCTCTCCGATCAGTTTTATTCGTTCTTTATCAGTCTGACTTGTTATTCCCCGTCTTTTTTATTGGAAACCCGAATGCTTTCGATCCAATTTCTCACTGTACAATGCCGAGAAACACTACCCGTTGCTTTGCGATCGTAAAAACTTATAACAGAAGTATACTCAAAGTTTTAGCAAAAGTATCGAAAAACTGAAACGTTATGATGTTAGTTCGAAATGAAAAAAAGACAATGGATTTGGTAATGGGATATCACTGTGTCGAAATTCTATCGCTGCGTTTATTTAAGCAACTCATGAGATGCACAGAAAACATAACAGCACTAGTATATTTTCACGATGCATGGAAAGTATTGGCCGTGTTTATTCTATTCATCCAATACGGGCTAAATTGCTGAATAGTTTCATGTGGAGTATGATTCGCTGGGCAGAATTTCCCCTTGATCAGTTTAAAAGCCAGAAAAAGTACAGTCTTCTATGCCAAAACCAGTTCTTTGACTAATTTCGGTTTCCGTTGACTGCAGTTCACGTCTTATGAATCATAATTGAGAATTGATGGAATTCTCAGAATTCAAGCAAAATAACATCTTTTTGCAAGAATCAACCCACTGTGAAATGTTCGGGATAGGATGAACAAGATGAAAAAGCAATTCTGTTGACATTATTGACATTACTCAGCGGATGGGGTTATGTTAGATTGCAAGTAACCAACCGGTTCTCTTAAGGTGTTATTTGTGGCAGTTGAAGTGGCTAAGCAGCAGCACTCATGAGTAACGAGGGAACAAAATTATTTGTAGTGACGACAAATTTTTTAATCGGCATAACACTTCTATGTAAACATTTGTATTAACTTTTTCGTGTGACACTACCGAACAATTGAATAGATACCAGTAATACGTTCGAATTCGTGCCTATCTCATTCAGATTCAATTCAATATTAACTGCGTATTAAGCACAATAATTAAGCACTAATCATTATCCAACATTAAGAGAAATGTGCACACAGGTTTCTTAATAAAATTACAGGATCATATCTCCGAGGTGATAAACAAGTTAGATGAGGGTGAAATAGACGATGAAATATGGGGGAAAATCATCATCATGGAACGGGGACGACGCATTGCGAAAGCATATTTAAGGTAAGATGCAGCGCTGATCATCGAATTATCAATTGAAATCTCATAATTGTGTGTATGAATGTTGATAAGTCAGGTTTGGAACGGATTGAATAGCAATATTAAAAATGATTTCTTGTAGAAACACAACGATAATTGTTGATGGTGGTGAAGAGGAGTTCGATGGTCAAACGCTCGGTTTCAATCATTTCGAGAATGCGTTTCGTGATGAACACACCAGCGAACTCCGCAGCAAGATCGGTGATGTAGGTTCAGTTTTTGCTTCACTTCTTGACTCGCGCAATGTGGATTACCATAAATGATTCCAGATCATTTTGCCAGATCGATTGCTCATAAATAACATGCAAAACTACTCGCAGAGTGACAATATGAAGATATGGTAACAATATAGCAACATAAGAACAATATGAGGCAATATATAAGACTTTGTAGGGTGTAATCATCAAGATGGACAATCAAGGAAATATCAAAGCGATGGCACGAGGATCTACACCGATAATAGTGCAAGGCACAGCAGAGCCTCGACTTACATGCATACCCGAGAAGTTGATCAAGCAACAGGGACGACTCAAAACGAATCACGATCAAGCGATTGGGGGCACCGATGAAGAGCGCATCGCCAAGGTGAAATCTGTTTTCTTCGGAAAAAATATCGAACAAAAAACACTAACGATCTATAATTCCAAACCGGGCTTCAACATCTCCAATGATCTCACCTCAGATTTTCGACATCCGCCGATTCAAGTCATCAATAGCTGATGAAATGAACAAACCAATCCCAAACAGACGCGAGCTGCTGCTCAAGTCTTGTGTTCGAATTGCGCTCGTCAAAGATGGTGGTAGTGATCCGATGAAGACACCGTGCTGGTTCATGATCATCAATTTGGTTGCACTCGACATGCTCAAAACGAAACTTCCCAACGCACTAAATTTTCGTGAGTTCAATCAAATGCGTTCCGTGCTTCAATTAATCCAACGAAATTCCGAATTATTACAGCAACTGCAACCTTAATCCAGAATACTCATCAGATAAGGTTTTGAAAGCAGAATTCTCTAACATATAACGAAACACATTCAAGTATCCAATCAGCAGTAAATAATGATCGTCGAAAATCTCAAATAATTTAGCTTTAACGATATTATTGCCAACGCAACGAAAGAATCTACCAAAACACAACATTTTGGTTCATTTTAGTTTCTCAGGAAGCAGATCGGGACCTGTCCGGTCGAGAGCCATTCTCGAAAATGGAAAGCTTATTGTCGTTGTTGACAACCTCTGCAAAAAAACCTCTCTCTCAAGAAGCCCTCCAAGAACTACTGAAAAACGCCATTCAGCAAGCCAATGATCCGTCGTACGTTCACGCCATCTAAAACTTCCCACTACATGTTTCATTTCGTCGAAATTCACCTTAATTATTATCACAGAGTTGAAGTCCTGGAATAAATTAATGAAGCTTTATAGCCATAGCACAAATCGCTATGCAAGACTGTCCGAGTCTACGCCAGTGCTATCTCAAATCGATCAGCTTGCACAACTTGCCAATACACTACGATTACGGAATAACCCATCTAAAATTGCGCGGAATAAACGTTACAGTCGGAGGTAACTTCAACTCATTGAATGAACAAAAATATTCGAGTTCGGTGTGAGTCTCATGCGAACAAATTCCCTCATCAAATTGTAAACAAATTATGTGCATTCAATCTGCATTAATGATAAAGCAAGACAATGAATGCAAATATCCGAAAACAAAGATCACAATTCCATAATAATGACAATTAAAATTTGCAGATCACGATCTTGCAGTGATACGGATGAATCGTTGAGTAGTGAAGAGTTTTCGTATCGAAGAGCCAGATATCGTTCTGCACTACCGACCACCACTAAAACCTTCTCAACAACCTCTTCAAGTGGTATCAGTACCTCTAATGCCAGACTTCTGCAAAAGTTAGTGGCATCGAGAATCGATCATCTCCTATCCGAGCTCATTTAATCATTGTTAATTCCGTAAGAGCTCCTTCAGTTTCTTTGTTCCAGTCATTATTGATTAAACAGTAATCGTCATTTGATGATGACGACATTACAGAGGAGATCAACTGTCATCGCTGGACAATGATAAATGCAATAAGGCGACAACAGCTCAGGGATGTTCTGATGAGGTATGATGGTTCATTCATAATTTAGCATTCATTTAGAAAACAGGTAAATGAACAACCCCGGTACTTAATATAAGGAAGAATGCATATTTGTCATGAAAGCATTGCTCATTCTACTGAAGGTACCGAAGAACACAACTGGGAAAGAATCGAGCAACATTGTAAAGAAGGAGAACGCAGAACAACAAGAGAATCAGCGGAACGCATCGATGCAATCGCCAACCTCATGCTTCAGCACAACTTCCGATTATGACAGCAATCGTGAAGTGTACGATTCGGCATCTTGCTACAGTTTCTCGGCTGCATCTTCCATTAATTTCAATGTAACCACTTTTTTCTCAGAGATTACATTCTTGCGAAGAAACATCCAATGACGCATTGAAGAGATCGATTATTCAAGCAAATCTTCAGACTCCTGAGGACAGACAAGATTCATCAAAACGTTCTCATAGCTCACCGCAACTGTCTGCAAACGAACAAGCTCAATCGAAACTACCGAGCAAACGTAATTGCGAAGCGAGAAACGATGCAAATCCAACAGCACCTGCAACTGACAGTGAGTATTTATGTCTTCAAGAAGTTGAAGAGTCACTTTCCATTAGCCAGTGACATTCTTCTCTTGCGAAGAAAAAGCAGTTTTATCTTGATTACTGAAATCATCAATCACCAAAGGTTTTCTCACCTAATTGAACGAAACATTGCTTATCGTGATGAGGAGTGAATGCAATTGGAAATTGCAACAAGACAAATGAACAAATGAGAGGACAGTAGGCTGCATTACATCTGTGATCGATTGATTAATGACTATTCACTAATGCAATTTCAGGTGTGACCACAAGTTCGTTTAAAACTAACACTATCGATCCGCCTCTCCAAGAAATCCCGAAACCATCAAAAGCTGTTAGAGCAGAAGCAGCTACTCACCCACAACTAGCACAGTTTTGCAGTGATAGTCTTCCACCGATTTCGCCTAGATCCTTAACCTCTCATAACGATTTCAATCCACTGCCATCCCCCCTTTCAACAACAATTTATGAGAAATCCAAAAGCCACTCATCGAATCTATTTTCGAAACTTCTCAAACAAGTCCAAAAACATCTGAAATCACCACCCGCTGCAGCATCACCAACATCACTGCAATCCGATATTCAAAATGCGCAGCAAAATTTCGATGCCTTCTATCGAAACAAATCAAAAACTTTCTCTAATAAGCACAATCGCAGAAGTCTACCACTTCCTCAATATCATGCGTACGATGTTGCTGATCAAATGCAAACATTTTACAATTCAAACGAAACCCAACTGGACTCAAACACCCGAGCATTTTGTTTAATGCGAGGAGGACAGCATCAATTTCCGTCTAATCCGAGCTACACGCACCAAATCTCGGGTAACAAAACAAATGTGACCCATACAAATGATAATACTCAAATTCCAGACAACAGCAACTCTGCTGACCGAAACGAAATCCTCAAAATGGAAGCACATCGTCGGTTTAGTGCCAGTTTACATAATATCCACACTCCAGTACAGATCAACACTGATCATGCTAATCATCAAAACATCAAAACATCCGGTATAACGCACGCAAAATCAAAGAGCTCTGATGCAAATTATTTGATGCGTGAGCAAAAAAAGTCTCGTGAAAAACCATTGATTGATTCCATCCTTTCTGCTATAAACCCCAACTCGAAACGACACAGTCAACGTCCGGTGTCCCATTCAGTGAACATGACAACTGCCCAACCGAGTGGTCAAAATGAATTTGCCGAACGCGCACCGGCGATTCGACGTTCTTCACGAACTCTGTATCGTCCTAACGCATCCGCTTATACCGTCATCACTGCGAATAGGCCAGAGCAGCCAGCAATGCCTTCGGCCGGTTGTGATATCAATTTCAATCCGTGCTCGTTCCAGACATTCTCGGCTAAACCACCTAAACATCCCAATTCCCAACCAACCAGTAGCACTTTCTGGAAATACAGAACATTATCGGCACCGAACAGACATATGCAAATGGCCTACGATGGCGATCCGCGGAAATGTCAACGCTTGAACACTCACCACCATTCTGGTAATGCGTTCGAAGCCAGCGAAAAATCGAAACATGACTTCTTCCATCACACGGCGAGAACTGGCCACGCAGAGATTTTGGATGCGAATACGATGGTGAGACGATCGATGCAACGTCCACGATCGTCCATACTCCCGATGGTATCAGAAGCTTCCGATAACTTCATGGATCCCCGATGGCAAGCTAGCGGATACCAAACGTTTGGTGATTTCAGGTCAACACCACCCACGGCATATAATTACGGGAATTTTGTACGTATGAAGCCTATTTTCAATTATTGGTGATGAACAATGAACAAATTACGTAATGAAATACATCAGGAATGCACCAGACAAAAAATTTTTAAGAAAAAGAACATGTGAATAAAAGACAAGGCATGTTCACATCTTTTGCACATTACCATGAAAAATGCGGTGCTCCTATGTGAGGCAATCCTATCCAACAATACAATCTGATACTCAACCACTGCTCTAGTGCTCCACGTTAGCACCATTCGAACATGTTACCATATGCTTACCCGAGATTATCATTACACTGAACTGGTATTATTCTTGAATTTATTCTAGCTATTATTGTAGTCAACTATTTATGACTTCTTACAGATATAATGTTGTTGTTGTCATGATCATATTAACTCGAATCGTTCACATGCTTACAATTCATTTTGTATGTGTATTGGAATGCAGCTTAGTAAATGTATGAATCCATGTGACTTGTATTGACTTATATGAACCTGTATTTGAACGTAACTTACATGAATGAAACATTTTACCAATTCTTTTAAGATGCACATTTGAAATCAGTTGTCATTACAAACTTATGCCAGGGGCAGGATGGCAACCAAGCCGGGTTCGACATGAATATTGTCCAATTATATCAACTAAAACCTACTTTTTGGCACATCGCTCTCTCACGAACACATGGGAACGTATTATTTGGAATTCGTCTCTATCTATTTCGATTAATTTCTTTACCAATGAATTTCTAGGGTTATCATTCTACTGAAGTGCTATCATATAACTCATCCACATCTCCCATAGCATTTCTCATTACCCAGACATAAGTGGAATGTTAACGAATTGTTTCAACTCAACTTAAGGTTCTGCTGAATGGATTTAGCTGAGCACGAGCGATAATGAGCACCCTGAGCATAGTATCATGGATGATAAAAGCATTCTATACCAATACAAGACTTCCTCTTCTATGCCATTATATAACTGTTATAATTATATCACTTCCAACCGCTGAAACATCTCAATTTCCGATCAAAATGTCCAAGTGATGAGCACTAACACTGAGCACATATAATGGTCATCAGTTCACCGAGTAAATCTCTAAATCACCCTCTGTGCAAGGCTTTCTAACTTCCCCTGAATGTCACCGCATACCTCAGTTCGATCACTCATCTTTCTGACAGAGTAAAACTCCTGTTACTACATGTCAGCCAACCATAAGACTAATAAAACCAGGTTGATATAGCCCACGCTACCATACCAAATATTGGCTGGTTCTTGAAATAGACAATTGTTGGATTTTTCTAAAATATCATAGAAGGTAAATAACCTATGATATCAGCTAAGTGCCATTTTAAGAAAATGCAAACTCCATAAGAATGCACAGAATAATAATGATAACAAGAAAACATTAACAATTCACAATCTCCAAAGTAACAGTAATAATTATTCTCATACATTCATTCTAAACAACAATCGAAGTCTCACAAAAACAATTTAAATCTTCAATTTTTGTTTGTTTATTTATATTTTTTCTTTCATTTCTTTTTTATTTTTTTAATTTTATTTTTTATTTTTTTTATTTCTTTATTTTTATTTTTTATTTTTTGTTTTTTTTATTTTTTATTTTTTTATTTTTATGTTATTTTTTTAATTTTAAAGAAAATTTTTATTGTAATTGATGTTTTCCATAAATGATTGATCAAGCGATGGTCTGAAGAAGAGGTCGGTTGATGCTGCTGGCTGCTTAGAAACCGAAGATGAAGTGCTCCATGTGCTCATGAATAGTTCCGATGTGGAATATAGAATCGCAGAAGGTTATGGCAGTGAAACGTGCCAAAGCAGTTGACAGATCAGCTTCGGTGATATCTTCAAACGATCATTTAGGCGAGTGAATATGACTGATTGAGGTCGATATCTTGAGGAGGGAGCATGAGCAAAGTAGATTGCTCTCAACAACAACAGCTCCATCAGTTATCGTCCCATATGGGTGAAGATTATGCTGATATTAACATCAGCGAATTATTGAAGTAACCATAGGGCTATTCCGAATGGGGAACTGCCTTATAACTCCTCTTCGAACGGGATAGGAAATGGCCCAAAAATAATTAAAAAGTAATTTAGATGGGCCTTATACTGAGCATTAAGCTCTAAAGAGTTGGTCGATTATAAGTAATAATTCTATGATTTGTCGACCCAAGTCAGTTGGAATACGACTGCACCAAGCTGAGTAGGTCAGAGCCTTCTGTTGCGAATCAGCAGGTGATGATGAACCTTCGGGAAGCAGTACAGCGACCTAGGGATCCAGCGAATGAGCACAAGGAGCAGAAAGAGATGAAGTCCTCGAAATCGATGAGAGAACGTGACGATCCGGACGACGATCGAAGGTACAATTGATAATTATTACATAATACTACATAATCCAATAATTAAAATACATGATTACATAATATAATAATGGTTACATAATGCATGTCAATACAATATAACGCATATAAACTTATGATTATCAACAAAGTCGTTGATTTTGTTGATAATAACGCAAAAAGTACCTAACTCATGATCAAAAATGCTCATTCCATTTCATTATTTGAACATTTTCAAGCGTCAATTTCTAGTTATCATTTTGAAATTTTGATTCGATATGGGTTTCTCAAGTTTCCAAACAAAATAGCTGCTCACAGTCAGGAACATCGGATGTCAGAATGGAAATTTCGAATTTTTCGCTGAAATTTTGTACACTATCTTTTGAACCTTCAGGTTTCAGCCTCGAAAACTCCCCAACAAAATTCCATTCCACTTTGTGGAATGGAATTTACGTTAAAAGTACAAATTTACATTGAAGGTACAATCGTACATTACAATCTTACATTAAAAGCACCGATAATGATATAGGGAACAACACAATCATTCAAAAGGCTGAAACAATCAGATATGCAATTTTCCAGGAAGGGGCATCTCAGAAAACGTGGAATATACATCCAAAAGAACTTAACGACTGCATTTATTGAAATTTCTTTCAGTTCATCTTCTCACCAAATGTCGTTCTCCCACCTCTAAGAATTCGGTCAAAAATCGGGTTTAAAACACTTTTTCGAAGTCGTTCGAAGTAATTTCATTCTCATTTCAATTTTCGAGATGCCCAAAATGCACAAAAAGTATGCATACATGGAAACATGGAAAACTGCATTTGCCATGTAACAATGGAATTGTTACATGACACATCATTGAAAAATCAAGTGTAGTCACTGCTGAAAGCATATCATTATTAATACAATACCAGCAAAAAACTATCAGAGTGATACAAAGAAGATGAGTTACTTTATAATGATAACGAAATAATACAATATCATGTTTAACGAAAAGATATCGCACAATATAATAATATTGTGCGATAACAACATTGAAAAGTTAACGAATATTAAAACAACAACTTCCAATAACTATCAACAACATTATAATGTTACTCAACAATATGAAGTATGAAGATAATATTTGGAAAAATGAAAGGTTTAAAATGGTCTTAGGAAAAATGGCAGTTAACCTTGCTATTTGTGCCCCCCCCCCCAACCTAGTGTCATACTAACTCAGTTACTTCTCTCTCCCTCTTTATCTCTCGTTTTATTTCTTACTGTACACGCTATTGCTGTGATAACAGCTGAGGCATACGGTAACATTCTAAAGCTTCAAAATGTTTTCATTCCTTGCATATGATTGGATCAAATTTGTTCATACCTCTAGCCTACCTCATCAGTATTCACTATCATTATTTGTATATACTTCATCTATCTGTCGTTATCAAATCCCTCTAACTTTGACATTTTATCTGATTTCATACATAATACTTTCTCGCCAATCACTTCTTCTATTTCACATTATTATTTCTATCAGTCACATCCGTTGACTGGTGACCATTATAGGTGCTAGCATTTCTGCCTACCACTCGAACCCTTTACGCTAAAACTATCACTTTCATTGCTCTAGGAGTTTATCGAAACGAATTTTCGCAGAATCGAAATACGAGCACCTTTCTATTATCCCATTATCCATTGGCCATCCAAAATTTCCAATTATGCTTATGTTTCAGCTATGCTTTTCTTTAATTCATAACCCCAGCAGATTTCACCTAGGTCTTCATTTAAAATTTTTTCACTTCACAAAACGTCTCATCCTCATCACAACAGGGTGAATGGGTTCCATGTATCATGTCTCATCCTCATCACAATATCGTCAAACTCAATTTCGAAAAGCTACAGCTTGACCCACTCAGCAGAATCTTTCACTAACCTCAACGTCTCATCAATCCTGCACCTTAACTATTCCCATGAAGATCCACGACTCACACAGATAAACCCCCTGACTCTGACTCATACCTCAGCATTGGAAGCAGTCCTGCACCCCGACTGTTTCCATGAATGTCCACGACTCATCCGAATAAACCCTCTAACTCTGACTTATAACTCAGCATTGGAAGCACCGCATTTTGTAATTGAAATAATTCGGGGTCAAATGGAAAAACCGGCCTGCGATGGAGCACACCATCAATATAAGGCAATACGCCTATATGAGCCAAGTCGGGTTTCCACATCCAATGTAGTATCGTGTCGCCATTATGTCCACTTCTTCACCAGCTCTTCCTCGATATCGATTCACCGATCCGCTGTCGATCCTAGTCGATTAGCCATCGAACAGCGCTACCTCTTTCCATCGATCCAGACATCCACTTCCATCGAATCCAGTATCCAAAGAACGACGAACCTCTCCATTGCACGATTGCTGTCGACATCCCCGAATGATCGCTGCCATTTATGAAGCCTGAAGCAGCATGAAGTTTCGGCAAGAGCCTAAAGTCACCAATTTATAAGTGGAAAGCAGAACCGAGTTAGCCTAAAACATACTCACTCATTTACTTTATAGTTCAGTCCAGTCGAAGCAGTTCAATTATCCGGCTATGTTGGTATCCAGATTGAATCAAATAATTGATCAGATCAGCATGTGCTAGATATTCTCGCTATGTTTTGAAAAGGTATCGCGGTCCCTCAGTAGCTCTGTTATTCTAGAAAGGTAAGAGAAATCTGATAAGGTGAGGTAGGTCTATCACATGGAGCAGTTAGTATTACGATTATAGTACTGAAGCAGTCGAGAGAAAGTTCTTTAGATCATACCATGAGAATATATCAGGTTGGATAGCATCCGTATGGTTCACAGCATTCCAGTAGCATCTGAACCTTCACTACACCCTCCAGTTTCATAGTTCACTTCAGTTCCATTCAATATTCCAAACTATTTCGCCCCATTCGTATTGAATTCCAACAGAAAATCAAATAGCATGGAATTCCAACAGAAGATGCACCATGAATATTTGTGGGCATGAATATTTACGCATTCCACTTTTGGATAGTGTAGCCGAACAAGCGATGAATTAGAATCAATTGGAATCCTCACCAGAAAGAATTCTTCTTGAGATTCAATCAAGCCGGTTTCAGGAGAGCGATTCGGCTAATATGAAGTTTCAGTGGAAGCATTGGATGAACAGGCCGAAAGATGTAATGTCGATTCTCATTTGATATACTCTCGAATTCACAAGTCGAAGTGAAAACGGAATAACGCATGACACAGATTTGGGCCACATCAATCACGAAAACAATGAAACATGTCGACTTCAGTAGAAATACACACTTAGAACGAGAACTCGAAACCGCACATCTCACAATCAGAAGATGAAATGAATGACTGATTGACTGAACACAATGAATTGACTTTATTTTTATTTTATTGTTCTACTTTACTTGTTAAGAGTAAGTAAGTAAGTAAGTAAGTAGTAAGTAGGTGGCGTCATCTTTGGCTAAAACAATGCGAAGAATAACCCTGGCCATATGTACCTACAACTGCAGGTCACTGTCAGGGTGGACGGGTTTGAATCACCTGATGGAGGAGAAAAAAGAAATAAAATGCGATATATTAGGGCTCTGCGAGACACGATGGAAAAACGAAATAAATGCGAGATGGAGAGATGGATGCGCTATCAGACTCGGGAAAGGTGAAGGCACAAGAACTATGGGAGGTATAGGTTTCATCATCGGGAAGGAATGGGCTGGAAGAAT